GGTTTACGAAACACAAACAGTGCTCAATACCATATAGATAGAGCGTAATATAGTTTTTCGTTTTACCTCAAAAACCACAACAGTCTGTTTCATCCGTATAGGAATCATCAGGTGGTGAACTGGACCACCTGATGATTCCTATACGGATGAAACAGACTGTTGTGGTTTTTGAGGTAAAACGAAAAACTATATATATATATATATATATATATATATATATATATATATATATATATATATATATATATATATATATATATATATATATATATATATATATATATATATATATATATATATATATATATAGCTTAAGATTTTGGTTTACGAAACACAAACAGTGCTCAATACCATATAGATAGAGCGTAATATAGTTTTTCGTTTTACCTATATTTGTTATATAAAGTATAGTGCATTATGTACTGTTTAATAAACGAGCAGGAGTGTTTTATTAGGTTTAAAGCCACGAGCGCGCAGCGCGAGTGGCTTTAGACCTAATAAAACACGACCTGCGAGTTTATTAAACGGCTTCAAACACGACTACAAATTCAATAGATTTACTGCCTTATTAGTATTCTTTATATAAAAAATACTAATGAGGACACGACTACAATAGATACTGCCTTATTAGTATTCTTTATATAAAGAATACTAATTAGGAGTGTTTTATCAGGTTTAAAGCCACTGCACGTGACATATTATGGTTAACATGATTTGCCAATAAGCTTATGAATTATTAATGAGTGTTTGAAGTACATTTAAAAAAGGCATTAATAATTCACGAGGAAAATACAAAAGAAATTAATGTTTAATCAATGAGTTCAATGTTTGTAAATCGGATAAAGATTTGTCCTGATTTACATAAACTTCAGCCTTGACTTTCTCGGCTTAGACAATGTTTATTTTTAAAATTACTTCGCCAATGAATGAACTCATAAGATGGGTCATTTTTCGCATCCGATCTGTATCTGATATACAAACTCTCTCCTTCGGCTCGAGTTTGTATATCAGTGACAGATCGGCTGCTCATGTTTTATCTAGTACAGATCGGCTGCTCATGTTTTATCTATAGTATACTTGTTTTTGTCCTGTTATGTAAAGTACTGTTTCATCGGCAAAGCAAAAGTTTATAAATTAATCTTCGCTCCTATTGTATAAAGCACACTCGCGGCCCTGGGATTCCCTAGCTTTGAACAGTGAAAGACGGCCACACGAAGCAATAAAAGCTTGAAAGAATGAGTTAACTACAAGCAGCGTCCGAACATGTGCCCTGCAAAGAATATATAATTGCTCGCAGTTTAAAACATGTTAATTTAACTATACTGTATAGTGTTTGGCATAAAGTATTATTTATCGACGTGATTAACCCAATGGACACTGGGTGTCAAAATGAGATGGAAAAATGTCCGACAAAATTTGAAAGTTTCTGATCAAATTTCATTTCGACGGGTTCCTCACAAATATTAGAGAGGTTAAGATACCCCGGTTCCGGTTTACGAGTGATATACACGTACAAGTACCCGTAAATCGGGGAACAACTTGTAACTTAAGAAATACAAGATATTTCGGCGTGTGAAAACCGATCAGAGAATGGTAACTTTCGCTGTTGAGGTTCGCATAAATTGTTGAAAACTTTGACGAGCATATATGCATTATTTATTTGGGTAAGATGTTGAAAAATTTTACTATTTAAAGCTCACATATGTAGTAAACAGAAAACACCCGTACCCGTTTGTCTTTTACGTGTAGACCTTGGTTTACCGCGGGAAAACAGGTAGAAATTACGGGCAAAAATGCTGACATTAACAAAAATTGGCAAACAAAATGCATGGCGATACTCGTATACCCGTAAATCGGACCGGGAATCTTTAAAACCTCTCTATTAAATTAAACGTTATTTCGGGCGCTGCAGCAGAGTCCAAAACAAATCTGTATTTGTATTGTGTTTATTTTCTTTATTGCATGGCATGACTTTAATACGTACAGGCTTTGCTCATGCTTTACATAGAAACTACAACGTGCTATTCACAAGAAACTAAGTATATAAACCTAAATGGAATAGTGTGAAGATTTAAATTAGTTAATCGTCGACATTCATGGTTTCAAGGCGTTCCGTGATGTCTTTCGGCAAAACAAGGATACACAAAGTGTGATAATAAGAATATCGCTTCATTGTCGTTTGATTTTATTATTTCTACCGATAAATTCTGATGTCTTTGGTATGCAAGTTTATGTGTTACTGATGCAAAGAACATTTTGTAAGCTGTTGAGGAAGTTGAGAAACTTTGTTCCTGGTGGGGGTTCAGCGATGACGGCCGCTTTGATTATAAACCTTGAAGTATTTTTTTTTTAAATTAGCTTTGCCAACTTACCACAACAGCATATGCTAATGGCCGTTCCCCCTTTTAAGTGAAATTTTGATCTAGACTAGCCTGGACAAAAATTTCATCACAGCTTGAAAGAGCATCACAAAATTAGCAATATTCCAAAGTTTCGTTGCAAAATGTTGTAAAATGCGAAATATCAGATGATCAAACTGATTATCACTATCCCGTTTGTATTAATACAAAATGACTAAAAAACGGCAAACTTCGCAAGGCTATATTATCCGCATTTTACAACATTTCGCAACGAAACTTCGGAATATTACTAATTTTGTGATGCTCTTTCAAGCTGTAATGAAATTGTTGTCCAGACTTGTCTAGATCAAAATTTCACATAAAAGGGGAAAGGTCTATTGCTGTGGGCCCTTTTTGCCTAACCCACCGGACCCTGTCAACTTTTCCTGTGGGACTGTTCAATAAACGAGCAGAACACAGTGTTTTATTTGGTTTAAAGCTTTATACCTAATAAAACACTACCTGCGAGTTTATTAAATCGCTTCAAACACGACTCCAAATTCAATAGACATATACTGCCTTATTAGTATTCTTTATATAAAGAATACTAATTAGGAGAGTTTTATCAGGTTTAAAGCCGCTGCACGTGACATATTATGATTGGCATGATTTGCCAATATGCTTATAAATTATTAATGAGTGTTTGAAGAAATATTTCTCGACAGCCATTCAATGTAAATTATTTTCTGTTCAACGTCACAGCCAACGCCGAAACCCACAGTTTCAGATTTTATCACATCCCTACATCCGGTATTTGTTTTGACGCCCCCCCCCCCTCCCTCCCAAGTCTTGAACCTCATTGTTGAAGTCCTGAATGAGAGGATAAATTATTAAAACGCAGAAAGCAGACCCGACCACCTTTTAAGCCGACACAAATCATCCCATTTGAGGCACATGCTATAACCCAAACATCCTGGTCGAAATGAAACTCTTCAATAAACAGTCCATTGCGTAGATTCCACAATTTCAGCGAATTTTCATCGAAAGCGGCCGACAAAAGAAATTCACCTCCTGACACCAATGCCAACGCTCGGATATAATGTGGGTTTGCGTGAAAAGGAACTCTATGGAGTACCGTTCCACTTTCCAAATTCCAAATCAGCATGGATTTCCCATCTAAAAATTATAATATTTATAATATAGCATTTGTAAATTCTGAATGTTGATTGGCTAAGAACCGTGTTGACATAACTCAATGCCAACACAGAAAATTTCCCGCCGCTCTTTAAATATAAAAGCGTACTGCTGAAATTTCAGTAAAACGTTTTTAAAATGGTCAATTTTTTTTAAGCTTTTCGCATTGGAGACGACGGAGAAAACCCACAGAAAGTTTGCAAATTTAGAAGCAAGCGATTTAGACGAGTTATTAGAGCTATTTCAACAATAAAAAGTTATTTTAATGTTGTACTTTATATTTCTTTGTACTATATTGTAAAGAAATGTAAAACTTTTTCCTGTATTGATATTTACTGTAGTTGTATCAACAACTGGGGAAACTCGAAATTGTGGGAAAACACCCTGCCCTCCGGGCACAATTTCTCGTTTTCCCAATTTCCACTCGCGTTGATAAACTGTATATCAACACAGAAAATGTTTTATATTTGTTATATGTAAAGGAAATGTTACACGAGACAATTTTTGCTGCAACTTGCAAAGCAATCTTGGATTTATATCCGCGTAATCTAAATAATTGTCACAGAAATTGTGAACATGGCCCGCAATCTACTTTATCGACACTTTCTTTACATAATATATCTCGGCAGAGTAAACCGTGCGTCATGCGCAACATTTCCCTGCAACTCCTTTTTAGATAACATTGCTCAATATGTCCAAAATTGTGTTGCAAGTTGCAGCAAAAATTGCTTCGAAGGGGCCGCGGGTGACAGATATGGTTAGGGTGTTGCCTCTACAGGGTATTTTCCTATGATATTTTCGTGGGTTGGGTCATTTCCCTGTGGTTGTGCTCTACGGTGCTTCTAACAACCTCGTTTCTACGCCTCTATACATGCAGCGCAATGAATGCGTATACGGCAGGTTAGGGAGCATGAGATAAACAATGCTAGCTGTGCTTTTCGCCGGAAACTCCAGTTTTCCTCCCTTGCCGACCTTTGGGCTAATTCTCGAGAAATTTGGCGACTACACCCTATGCAATGGAGGTTAAATAAATAAAAATAATATATAATCATTTACCCATCAAGGCCACATGGTTGAAAGCATTGTTAACACATTTTACGATGTATCTTGTCGAAACACTAAACTTCTCAGTCCTCAAGCCCTCGTTCAAACTCCACTTTACTACTCCAAGCCAAATCTGCAACCTGCGCCAAGAAACAGCAATGAGGCAGTCATTCACTGCACGTAATGCATAAATTCCACCACCATAAAATTCCAAGTCGTACGTATTTACGATACCAGCAGCGTTTATTCGATAAACCTGTCAAGGTAATAATAATATACTTTAGTATTTTTGCACAAGTGAACATAACAAATCCTGCAAATTGATTGGTCAAATTTGACGTATTAAGCTGTTATATTCACCTATAGGTGAATATAACAAAACCGAAATTTTCAAAATGGCGGCTAGCGTTGTGTGGGCATTATGCTGATAAGCTAAATTTAAATAAATTCAGTCCCAAAAAACAGAAAAATACTAAAACAATTATTCGCCCCAGGCTCGGTGATTATCGGGGAATATTCACCTCGACTTCGTCTCGACATTAATTTTGAACAATTTTATTCGTTGCACCGTGCCTAGAGGTGCAAAATAAAATCAGTAAACGGACGTATATTATATAAATCATGGGTTTTCAACTTGGGGGACATGTCCCCGAGAGGGGACATTTGGCAAATTCCTAGGGGACACAAACTGGTCTAGGACTGAGAAAACAATAGTTGAATACAATAGTTGAATACAATAGTTTGTACTATAAACATGTTTGCTTGACTTTCTATCTATTATTTAAAATTTAAATCATTTACTATTTTACTAACTATTTCGAAATTCGTGTTTTTGATAGACTTCAGTAGGCAATTTCTGTTCAGGGGACGTGGTAATTCAATCATGTGAAATCGGGGACACATGAGAAAACCAGTTGAAAACCGTTGATATAAATAATTGTGCGCCGTGCGGTGAGTACGGACGTTCATTTTGAACTCCTGATGTTATATAAAAAAATGTCAAAGGATACTATAAAGTCATTAAAGAAACAAAATGATGAGCTAAAAGCTGAAATCGAATGTATAAGAAAAGACTTTAAGAAGCTCGAACAAGACGCCAAAAAAATATCTGCCAGATAAAGAAACGCTAAAGAGTCTGGAGTATTTGAGCAACGAATACGACGATGTACGCCGCTCTCAGAGTTCTGCTAAACAAAGATTCTCCAAATTCGAATCTCGGCTGAACGACTTGAAAGAGAAGGTCGAAGGCTTATCAAAATCTATTGTCGAAATGGAAGAATATAGTTATGCATACAACGTTAAACTGGTGGGAATACCCGATCTTAACCCGAAGGAAACTGCAATCGAAACAAGCATGTTGTGTGTCAAAATATTCAACGCTATGGGAGCTGAAGTATCGATATCGGACATAGATATTACCCATCGTGTTAAACCGAGAAGAAATTATGGCGGATACTTGATACTTGTCAGAAACGTGGCATGGGAGAAGGGGTCTTCCTGAGAAAAATAAAGACAAATACAACAGTCAGAAATAGGCCGAATAAGTGTTATAGGGTATCGGAAAAGAAGTTTCGAGATGTCCGTTAACGATGCTACGAACATGTCATGTATTAATGTATATAGAAGGAAAATAAATGATCCTTTGAGAAAAGCGGCGGAAACAAACATTCGGAAACAAGAAGGCGCAGGAAGGATGGGAAGATTAGGTGAACCAAAAGACGACAGTTCGAAAGATGAAATCATGAAACATTAGGATGATTCAGACGCCGAATTTTGCCATAACTTACAAACGCAAAAATAGGTACGCACTGCGTACATGTTGCAAGGCATTAGTCACTCACAGCAGGTGCATGAGGCTAACTATAAACTTGTTAAAAGTGCTGGTGTTTGTTGGCATAATTTGTATCACCTGTGTGAACGAAGTTTGTTATTGCAACATTCAGGGCGTGGACTTTCTTATCATTATTTTGGCCCAAATGCATGGGCTCCCAGTTTACCTCTACAAGAAACTGATTAGTTTCATTAAGTCCATGGTACTCCTCTAAAATAGAGTGGAGCGCAGGATTTACTATGCCTCAACTACAAAAAGAACAGTGGCATAGCTAAGGTTGAATGTTGAGGGGCATTGAGTGGCAAGTTCACAAAAAAAGCTGGATTTCTTAGAGCTCAGAAATGCCATTTTCCACATTCTGATACACATTTTTAAAAGTAATTGCAAGGTCGTAAGTTACAAAGTTCTGTTATAGTTACCAGGAATGCCGGAACTGGGGGGCCAGGAGGGGGCAGCTGCCCCTCTTGCCTTTTGCTAGGAGGGGCAAGGGGAGCAGAGGTGCACTTTGAGTTATAAAATACTACGTAATAAATCACATTTCCAATGAAGCTTTTTGGGCAAAATTATCAGGTGTGATCTTGAATGATCTTGATTAAGTCCGTTTGCTTCATTGGCAAGTCCGTTTGCTTCATTGGCAATCAGGCGGTACCGCCTGATGATTCTTTACTGATGAAACAGATGTTGCGGAATTTTGAGGTAAGCGAAATTCTACATTTGCTCTACACTCTAAAAACACTCTGGTTAAATTCAACCAGGAATTGGGTTAATAATCCACCCAACACATTCTGGTTAAATTTAACCCATTTCCTGGTTAAAAATTATCAATTCAACAAAAATTTGGTACACTTTTTTTTACTTTTAACCAGGAAAATAATTAATTTTTTTTAACCAGACTTGTGTAGGTGGATTTTTAACCCCGTACTGGTTGAATTAACCCAAATTTAACCAGAGTGTTTTTAGAGTGTATCTTTATGATATTGAGCACTCTTTGCGTTTCGTAAACACAAACCTACTCGTATATATATATATATATATATATATATATATATATATATATATATATATATATATATATATATATATATATATATATATATATATATATATATATATATATATATATATATATATATATGCGATAAATGCCAGTACTCTGCTCAGCCGACAAGACTTCATATGTAACAAACACAACGGCTACGTTTGAAGAAGTTTATTAAAAAAAGTATATTAGATACAAAAACTAAATTTTCGGCTGCATGCCACAGCCTTCTTCAGAGTGCCTAGCTTTACGCAGAACATACTTATATACAATAAATTATTAATAAATTACTATTGTTGGGCGAAATCGTGACTACCATTAAGGCCTTTCCGGTTGGTCAACAACATTCCTATCCAAAAGTTTTCACTCTTAAGTACTTCACTATGGTGTTGATCAATAAGCATAAATTTTAAGCTCGAATGATCCGCCTCATGCACATCAATAAAATGATTAGTTATACTACATGTCCGGCGCTTATGCTTAATGTGTGATTTGTAGTTAGCTAGCTAGCGCTAGTCTGGACTTAAAATTGGCAGTAGAGCCAACACCTTGCAAACCACAAAGCACACATTCAGCAAGATACACTACATTACTGGAAGTGCACGTCAAAGATTTTAAAATAAGAAATATCCTTCCAGTGACAGCTGCACGAAAAATCAAAAAGTTCTTACAACTATCACAGCGCTTGGCATCACATTTGTAGCAGCCTTCACCTTCCAGTTTATTAGGCTTATATGGGTTAGATGGTGCTAATAACTCCTTCAAATTGGCATTACGCTTATACGAAACAAGAATAGCACTCTCCGGTAGAATTTTTTTAGCCTGTTCATCACTATCTGAAACAGAGCGATGTTTACGAAAATTTTTTCGAATATCAGGAGCACTAGGATTAAACTTGGCAACAAAAACACAGGAATTACGACGAACTTTACGTCTACTACTACGCGCTTCCTCACGAGTCATAGCACCAACCACCTCAAAGGCTCTATTAACATGTGCACTGTCATGGCCGCAATCCGTAAGATATTTCATATAAATCCTACTTTTTTCCCAAAAATCAGCGTCCCTAGAACATATGCGACGCAATCTCAATGCCACTCCTTTGACAATACCCAAAATTTGAGATTTTGGGTGCGACGAATTGGCATTGAGATACAAGTGTGCGTCCGTAGGCTTACTATAAACTGTAGTTTCCATACGATTATTAACTATGGAAATTAAAAGATCGAGAAAATGCAAACTACGCCCGCCCACATCCATAGTAAACTGTAGATGCGGGTCGAATGTGTTGAGATCCTGAAAAAACGCTTGAAGCCGTTCCATGGTACCCCGCCATATGATATCTCATGAATAGTATCATCTCGAAATCTAAACCAACATCTCAGTTCAGGATAAATAGAACGAGATTCTAGAACTTTTTTATCTATCTCTTCTGCGACAATATACCATGAAGGCTGCTATAAATGTGATGCCAAGCGCTGTGATAGTTGTAAGAACTTTTTGATTTTTGGCAATTCCTTTCGTGCAGCTGCCACTGGAAGGATATTTCTTATTTTAAAATCTTTGACGTGCACTTCCAGTAATGTAGTGTATCTTGCTGAGTGTGTGCTTTGTGGTTTGCAAGGTGTTGGCTCTACTGCCAATTATAAGTCCAGACTAGCTAACTACAAATCACACATTAAGCATAAGCGCCGGACATGCAGTATAACTAATCATTTTATTACACTGGTTTGATAAAAACGTTAAACTACGTTTATTTAAAAAGATGTTCAGACGTTCGACCAGTGACTTAGGTCTTCGTCAGTTAAAAAATTGACTAAGTTCAAAACTGAACATTATGTTAAGGCCTGATTCCACGAGGCGGAATTTTTCGACCGAAACGAAATTTCTCTTTGTCTTTTTACAATTAGTTCTGCTTGAGAGCTCATGAAACAAAGAGAAATTTCGATTCGGTCGAAAAATTTCGCCTAGTGGAAAACCGCCTTAAAGGTTCAGAGTTAATGCATGAGTCAATTCCAACTGCGATCATCCCCCCCCGGGCGAACCCCCGGGACTTGACCAGAGGTTAATCCTGCATAGGCGGGAATTTGACGCGAAAACATTCCCGCACTGTCGGGCATTTGACCCCTTTTATTTGACTGATCACTGGCGCAAAATTGGCCAGCGGTCGCGCTAGCTAAGTACTTGGTGTAGATGAACCTTGACAAACGTGATTTGTTTTCACGTGTATAAAAAACACACTACACGGGATAAATAGTTTTAAAGTTTTATGTATAAAAATGCCGCTGTATAAAGTTTGGAGCTCCACCAGGGAAGTTAAAAAGGCTGTAATTGCTTGTTCTTTTAGGCCCGGTTTAGACGCCGTGCTTTTCATGAGCCGAACTTAATACAATGAATTAAGCACATGAGAAACACGGCGTCTAAATCAATTAAGCACTGCACTTAATATTAAGCACGGCTAAATTAAAAAGTTCGCCTGGTTCAGGCGTGCTACACGGCTGAAGCACATGTTGATTTATACTGCCGTGCTTTACATGAGCCGTACCAAATGCATAAATTATGATAATATAGAACATTTATAGTACGCGAGCGTTGATTGGTCGAGAAGCGTGTTTCTACACGGGAAATTTCCCGCCTAAACTTACAATCGTAAACAAAACAATTTTAATG